CGAATAGAATTTGACTGCAAGGAGAATGTACCCGCCAATACTACCGCCTATTGCCTCATCATACGTGATCGTGTTATCGAATACTGCCCGCTGTCCAACGTAGTGCGCAAGATTATGTAAATTGCACCGTCAGCAATTATCTTCAATTTAAGAGAGATTAACACTGACATGAGTGCAGTTTCGAATAAATGCTCGTCATGATCATACCAACGTTTGTGGATCTACAAGGATTCGTCGTAGACAAGAAATTTATCGTCAAGGAAGTAGCGGTGCTGAGAAGAGGAACTGTTATCACACACTACATTTTTTCATGTCCTATGCCATGGAATTTACTGACAAAATCCGACAAATCTTGCGCTTCCTGGTTGAGTGCTTATCACCATGGATTGCAATGGGAAGACGGGATGGTCCCGTACACCATGGCGAAACGTCTAATCATAGAGACTGTAACAGAAGACGATGAAGCTCTCGTATATGTAAAGGGGCTTGAAAAACGACAATGGCTATCTAATATACTCGATTGCGATAATGTAGTCGTTGAAACTCTAGATGCGCATTACGAAGATGTAGAATCTCTATGTAGCTTAGATGCATGTAATACAATACGGTGTGGAAGACACGCTAAGAATTGTGCTTTGCAAAATGTATTTAAAATATTCAACTGGTGGTCGCAACACCAGGAATAATTGTAAGATTTTTGAAATAAATGTAAGATTTTTTAAATAAATACGTTTTATTTCTGTATCACCCACATAATAGATATAAGTCAATAGTAGACTGGTAACTGTTTAATGTTGACCGATATCCGTCTGATAGCTGTTTATAGCAGTTCAATAGCTATCTGATAGCTGTTCGATAGCTGTTCAATAGCTGTTTATAGCAGTTTGATAGCCGTTCGATAGCTGTTAAATAGCTGTTTAGAGTGTACCGATAACTGTTCGATAGCTGTTTGATAGCCGTTCGATAGCCGTTCGATAGCCGTTCAATAGCTGTTTACAGTGTACCGATAGCCGTTCAATAACTGTTCAATAGATGTTTACAGTGTACCGATAGCTGTCTGATAGCTGTTTTCAGTGAACCGATAGCAGTTCAATAGCCGTTCAATAGCTGTTCAATAGCTGTTCAATAGCTGTTCGATAGCTGTTTAATATACGCATAATATGTGCTTCAAATGCTGCAATGAATAAAAAATGCTGAAGTTTTTTTTTTGTATGGAATCGTTTGAGCGCGATATCTTCTCGTATACTTTTTAGCTGAGGTATACTTTTAGCTGAGGTATACTTTTTAGCTGAGGTATACTTTTGATTAAGATAATATATCTTTAGCCGAGGCATTGCACTTTTGCATGGAGATACTTTGGGTGAATAATGATGTCATATTGTCACGTACATCTTTAGTATAAATTCAACGCACAGCCCTCGCGGTCAGTCAGTCTGTCAGTCAGTGAGTCAGTTTGTACATAAGTTAATTCCTAGTTCACTTATAATAGTTAGTTTGTGGAACAAAATGGATAACATCGTTGAGTTATTGGATGTTGGAGAATTCATTCGGTTGAGTGCCGACATTTTGTCTGAAAGTACAGCATTATTATTTGATAATTTATCTACTATCCGGGATGCTGTTGAAAAAGTGGACAACAATAC